GGGTAGTATGTAAAAAAGATCCTTTGTCCTCAGGCTCCCCCTCCCAGGTCTGGACCCGTGAGCTGGGGCTGGATAGCCAATGACGGGTAAGATCTCCATAGGGGGACAACCTAAGACAGGCACAGTCACCGAGGGTCCCAGATAATATCTCTTACTCCGAGCTAGTCATTAGGCCATAGCCCAGTTAACATAGCCTGAGTGGGACATTGCCAGTCTAGACAAAGCTCTTATTTAAAAAACAAAAAAAGGGGGAGATGTTGGGAGTCAACTGAGGACATTTGGGGATAATGAGGCTGTGGCAAACTGCTACATGCCTCTATGCAGGACCCTATGTCTAGGGGAGTGGATAAGAGAGTCTGCTTAGTAACTGCATACATAAGGCTCAGACACCCCCAAGAGAAACAATGCTCCGGGACTTTCCACCATGGACTTGCTATAGTTTCTATCCCCGGCCCTAGTTCCTGGTTTCTGTATGCCTACACCCAAAGCGCCCTGCCAAAGCCCCTGCTAGAATCTCCTACATAAAGAGGAACTTATTGCCTGTATAACCAGAGCCTTTACAATAAACGATGTCTTAGTCTGTTACCAGCAGGCTGAGGCCCTCCTGCTCCCAGCTTTTGTCTCTACTTTCTTCATTTCTCGTCTCCCACCCAGTCCTCTCATGTATCCTTTTGGTGAGCTCCTGGCTGACGAGCCAGGGGCGTTTGGTTGAGCGAGCTGGTCTCATTCAGGAAGGAAGGAAGGAAGGAAAGAAGGAAGATCCTAGGAGCTCCCACCATTTCCAGCTGGAAGGAGCGAGGAAGAGCTCACATGAATGACACAGTTCTGGGAACTCCCAACTCCACTGATATGCATTGCACCAAAAAAACTGAGGGGTCATTCCAGTATTCAGAACAAAATGCATTAATCTGCACAGGGCAGAATTCTCCATGCTATGAATTAGACTCTTTTAATTGCTTGGACAACACTGACATCTTTTCATCCCACTGTGAATTCTGTGCATAGATCATCCTGATTCCAATTATATGCTGAGTCAAGCCCCTGGAATGTCTTAGCTCCAGACTTTTTTTAGTTTAAAAATTAGCAGTATTAAATAACAATGGGCCATTAAAAACACCACAGCCAATGCATGTTACCATGGGTACTGAAAAAAAAAGTTCCCTCTTTTTCTATTTTGATTAATACAAATAAACATATTTATTTAGCATGACTATTTCACTAAATGGATGACCATTAGAGGGAAGGTTAATATCCTTTTCCATCAGAACTTTTAAACTGTAAAAGAGTTTAAAAGTGTTTTCTTAGAGGAGAAAGAAGTCTCCAATGAATACTTTGATTGGAGAAATTAGTAACTTCTGTCAGACTCTTACCATAAGCAATCAAAAGCCACCTCTAGCTCTGTGTGTCCACCTAAGCTGATGTACATGACAAGTTCCATCGGAAAGGGATGGAGAAGTTATGCTGACATTACAGAAAGTAAATAATGAATAACCCAATGTTGGACAAATATACAAAATATTTGTCTTCTACCCCCCACCAAATTCTCCATTGTGACACATGCCATAATCACAACATCCTTCTCTTTAAAGGGAAGAATAAAATGGAAGGACACGTTGGTAGATATGTGTGCAAAACTGATATTTTTATGGGCCTTTATAATCTTTAAGAGGTGCTCTGATACAACTTCTAAGAATAAATGAGATAAAATTCACTCAAATATATTTTTAGGAGTTCTTTATGGGAAAACATTTCACTTTTATTGTTCAAGATGATTATCTTCATAA